AAATTAAACCTTATTTTCAATAAGCAATCCTGGAAAATATTTGGGGGTGCTTAACTTTTTTCCAGGTGTATATAAACTTGAATTAAAATTAGTAAAATACATTAATTAAATTTATAACTTTGAAAAAAAACTGTAGTAAAAGTCATCTTCTAGAAACTATTGAGCATTTGCCGAAACTTTATTAAGATAAAAATTGGGAATCCCCCCTCCCCCCCGTTTCACTGGGTTTGATAGCTTTAACCCTTTGATTACTAAAAATAGGTACATTACATGTATTTAATGTTGTTTCATAGCAGGTGTACCATTTAGTTATTTAAAAAAAAAGTTTTATAATCTCTTAAGAATTAAAAAATCACTTATTCTCTGTAAGAATCATGAATTAATACAAGTTGAATACAAAAGTACCAGTGTTGGCCACGTGTGCACTATTTAATACCTTGGTAATAGGAGGATTACGGAAAGAGTATCCTTTATTAGAAATTAAAAGCATTCTGATTTGATGAAGTCAAATTTTGAAATTAATTCAAAGAAACAGTTTGAAAAAAAAGAATTAAAAGTGGTGGGATTACTGTTGTTGTTTATCTTCTATCTAGTTCTTTTGCAACTGTTTACAGTTATTACAAATATTTGAAACTATTCTTTTTAAGTTAGGCTTCACAGTTAAGATGAATTAAGAGTATGCTTACAGAAATTATTTTTGATTTCCTGTTCTGTAAGCCTTGTACAGGAGCTACTTCATTTTCTATATCTGTGAACTCAAAGTCACCATTCCGATTCTCCATTGTTACTTCAGCCTATGAAGACAAGAACATGTGAAATCGAAACAGGTATTTCCCATTTATATTTAATAAATATATATTTTGTTAAAATAACAGACATTTAGATATATCTAATTCTGATATGGTGCTGAAAGGATATATATATAGATATATAGATAAGCATTAATGCAAGTAGAAAACATATTCTCTTAACAGCTTAATTCTAATTTTACCCTGTGATTCAGAGTTAATTAATAAATTTTGATGAAATCTGGGATATGGACACTAATTAACATTCCAAAATTAAAGATCAAACAAAAACAGTTTATTCAAACAAAAATTTTATTAAAGAATTAACAATTTTTCATTCCAATCAATAATAGTGGTTAAGTAATAAAGATCTGCAATCATTATTTAAATATTGTCATGAGGGCATTTCCTTTTAGTATGGTTAACTTATTTAACAATATTCAAAAAGATGCTTAAAAATGATTTCATATTAAAAGATTATCATTGTTGTAAAATTGAAATCACCTAATGATACTTTAACTTGTTCAAACAGTTTCCTTTGGTGTATGTTTTAATTTGAGTCACTTCTTTTACATAGGTTTCAGTCTTTAACATTAGCGTTTTGAGGTATACTTCTCTGTAGTTATTTTTCTCTTTTTTTTAAACATTTTACATATACAATCATATTAAAATAAAGCTTTGTAGGTAAGAAAAAGAGTTTTCAAAGCTGTAAATAGTTCTTGAAATGATTACATCAAACAAGCAACTGCGATTGAAATGTTCAGATGCTGTTGTGAGAAAGTAACAATTTAATTTATCTATAATTTTACTAAATTTCCTTTTTAATACTAGATACTGATATTTACCTTTATAGCATTATCATTGTAATTAAAAATTACAGCCTGAATAGCAACAGATTCTCCCCTCAATATAGCATAGGGAAGGCTCAACTTAATGAAGAATGGGCGGAAAACAGTCACCTATGAAATAAAAGTGTCAAGGTATTTTTGAAACTGAATTAACATTTTCACATACACACGTCAAACAAACTTTGATGAAGATTACATATGCAATCTTCCCAATTAGAAAGCTTCATACTTTTTTTGATTAAAAAAAATGAAACACTAATAAGGTTAAGGTTAAAAAAATTAACATACTTTTTATACTTCAAATTTCTTTTTGATTCTTAACTTTTTCCATTGAATGTGAATCTTTTCAGCTTTCTCTACAACACAGATACAAGTTCTGTTGAAGTAAAAATGTCTAGAAGTTGTTTTTTTTATATAGACTTATGAGTTAATTCATATCTAATGTGTTTTACACATGGCTGACAAAAGGGAAAAAGTAATCATTATCAAATACAATGTACTATGTAAAAAGCTACAGAACCACACCTTCTTAGAAGTCAAAAACTGAAGTGTGAAGTAACATTTAAGTTTTCAAGAAATAGCACTAAGTTGCATAAAATATTACAAAAATATATTAATAATAATAAAATAATAGCTATTTACAGAAAATCAAAATTTTTTATTTAAAACTGATTTTTTTTTATAATGTTATTAATAAATACAAGTTTCTCTTTTATAAAGCAAGTCAGTTGATGTTACTTCCTAGTCTAGCTCTGTACTGATCCAGATCAAAGTACCTTGTTGGTTGTGTCTAGAACAAGGTATACATTTCTGTAAGTTGTATGAATAACACTACCTTAGTTGTGCTTGGCGATATGCCCAACCCTGTAATAGAATCCATGGCAAAAGCACTAACAATCCAAGATGTGATGGTGTCAGGAACTTCACTTGATACTACAGCTTTTCCATCATTGCTATTGAAATAAACATACAAAAACACGTGTGAAGGGGAGGAAATAAAACATACAAAAACATAGTGTGAAGGGGAGGAAATACAAAATACAAAAACACGTGTGAAGGGGAGGAAATAAAACATACAAAAACACGTTTGAAGGGGAGGAAATAAAACATACAAAAACACGTGTGAAGGGGAGGAAATAAAACATACAAAAACATGTGTGAAGGGGAGGAAATACAAAATACAAAAACACGTGTGAAGGGGAGGAAATAAAACATACAAAAACACGTTTGAAGGGGAGGA